TATTCTCTTAATTCCTTGTTCTATATATATTTCACGGGGATGGGGGGGAATATGTAGTACATCTTCATTTTAACAAGTATATTTTATTTGATTAATCTTTAATATTATGAACTCTTACCCAATAAATTCGTTTTAACTTATAAATTTATTTTAATAAATTCATATTTCATTAAATCCATTTTTATGGAATGCAATTATGTATAATAAATAATCTTGACGGAACGAATTAGATCAGTTTTCTTCCTTTTTTTTTTCGAAGTTATACATCTTTTAGTGCGTTTTGGAAAGTGAAGTTAGATGCGATCGAAAAATTCGACACCACGAAGTTGTTTGCGATATTTACGATGCGCGGGAAAATTGAAGTTATTTTTGAGGTTATGTAGGTTATATTCGTTTTGGTACGCTAAAGAAGTATAACTTCTTACCGTACGTATATAAGTACACACACATTAGTTTTATTTTACCTATTTTCATTTTCGAGACAACAAAGAGAAAGAAAGAAACCTTTGAATTACCCGACAACATTCACCGCAACGATCCCACCTTGTCCCTTTCTCAGCAGCAGGCCCCCTTTACTCCTCAGTTGTCTTCTTCGTCTTCTTCTTTACGAGGGGGGTAACCCAACCCCTGCCGCCGTTAATAATTTCTTTCGAACAAATCGTCCGTAAGATGCGACGACGAACAGGGAGAAAGGAAAATATTCGAATTCTACTGCTGCTGTTGCTGCAAACCAAACCAAACCAAAATGGTGAAGAAGAGGAGTGTGAGACACGATATTATTTCTGTCCGAAGGTTTCGCGTTTCACTACTGAAATATTTCTCCTCATATTAGCAATGGTGGATTAAAATGGTAAGCGGTAGGACTAAGGTAGGACCCCATAGGGTTCTGGAATATTATAGGAGAAGAAGGAAAGGTATTCACAAGTCTCTTGGAATTTCTTTTTATTAGGGTCAGAGAGGAAAAAGTTATATTTTTGGAAAGAAAATTTATGATCAATTTATTTATCTATCTATCTATATATATATAGATGAATCCCCCTGTTTTTTTTGGTCACGCCATAACTTGAGAACGACTTTACCAATTTCATTCATCTTTTTTTTTCTTTTTAAGTATTCTAATATTTCGTAGAAGGTTCTTACCGAAAAAAGAATTAAGAGAATTGGTCAGAGAAAATTTACAAATTTGTTTTGCAACCCAGAAATTGATGGGGGTTGCAACAATGCTTGCAAACGTATTTTGCATAATTTATTTATATTGAATTTAAAGGCTCAGAAAATTTAATCATATGGTGGGGGTCCTTCGTTTGACTTGATCCACCATTATAGTACCAATAATTTCTTGTTTATCATAAATATATAAAAGATTAAATTTGTTTTATTCATCGATAATAATTTTGTCGTATTATTTAACAAATATTTTACAGATATTGCCATGGATTGGTCGGATCATGCTTTATGGTGGCCAGCACGTAATCATTGGTTGACAAGAACGAGAAGTACATTGGACCAGTATGGTGTTGCTGCAGATGCATTATTACATTTCACTCCAATGCACAAAACACTTCGGGTACAATTACCTGACATGCGTTCTGTGGATTGTAGGGTAGATTTTTCAGTTAAAACATTTAACGCCGTAATCAATCTCTGCAAAGAACTTGGCAAGTTTTATTAATGTTATAAATATTTCAATAGATAATCAATTATTATTATAAATAAAAAGAAATCATTTGAATAATATCATTTTAGGTATCAGACATCCTGAAGAATTGTCATTTTGTAAACCATTGGAACCTTCTCATTTGAAATACAATTTAAAAGATTTACCAACCAAGAAGAAAATTGAAAATCAAAAGAACGGTCATTGGAATGTACCAGCTGATACGAATACCTTTATCCCAGCAAGTCAAAGTCCCAGAGGATCAACAGGAAGTCTTGACCAAAGTAGTCCCTTTATGTGTGCCCCGGTTACACCCAGTAATAGAAATCACAGTACACCCATCAGTTCTCCGGTATCGGTTAGTATATAATACAGAGACAGAGAAAATCAATTATATTATCTGAGTTTTATAAAATTCAAGTGATAAAACGTTGTTCGTATGACTGTTGTAATGTTAACATTAACATGCTTAGAGTGAAACTATGCGAATGACTATAAATAACATGATGCTGGGCTTATCAAAGCCAAGTTATCTTTCTTTGTTTATGATAGAAAAGAAGAGGAACAAAAAAAAAAACACGTAAAATAATAATCATATTGTTTTCTTCTTTTATTTAAGTAATCATCACATTCCTTATATCTAAACGTGTGTTTAATCTTATATAGAAAAATAAAATAAAATATATTATAGCGTGATTAACAATAATGTTAAGCATTATGTAAATTCGTTTTATAGGAAATTTATATATTTCTTTGTATTAACTAATATGTATTAGATATAGAAAAATGTATAGAACATTTGACAAAAAAATAATATAATAATTATCATTGATTAATTATAGGAACCTCGCGTTAATATAAAAATTTACTGTATGTACTATTGTAAAACATTTATATTATTTAATTGTTTTTTTTTTTTTTTTTCAAATAGAGAATGACACGTTATAATCCTTACAGATTCAACATACCAGTACATGGAAAAGAAATAACAATTCGTCAGGTTTTGGCAGTACCGGATCTTTCAATGCAAACAACAGTACGATGAGTTTGGAAGCATTGAACGGAGGTTTATCCGAATCCCTTGCTCAAAGTCCGGCTTCTATTTCACCGGAAGTACGCTTGAAATTAATCAGGCCAAAAAGTCTCGTAGAAAGGGCAAGAATGAACGTAGCATGGTTGGATTCGTCACTTTCGATCATGGAACAGGGTATACGTGAATACGACACTCTAAGGCTCAAATTTAAATTTTATTCATTTTACGACTTAAACCCGAAAACTGACGCTGTCAGAATAAACATGATTTACGAGCAAGCCAAATGGCAACTTTTAGCCGAAGAAATTGACTGTACTGAAGAAGAAATGCTCATGTTCGCTGCTCTTCAGGTACATTAGAAGAAATTCTGTGTTATTTTTTCTTTTTTTTTTGGTCCTTTTGGTCAAAAGCTTATTCTTTTTTGTTTTTCTTTTTTTGATCTTTTGATTTTTCAGCTGCACCCCAATATAATAGAGAAAAATATTTCCTCGAAAAAAACTTAAATCGTATAAAAATCTTCTTTGAAAAAATATTCAAACATATTTCCCACGAATTTATACTTATACATTTGTCCGAATAATAACATCTTTTATTTTATTTTTTACTTGCATTCTTTTCTTTTTCTTTTTTTTTTCTTTTTTTTTTTCTTGTAAGAGTATTCAAATAGAACGGATTTTTAGTACGCTTATTTTCACTATCCAAACATCCGTCAGCAAAATGCTGTTAAATCGAATCCGATTCGTTACCAAAGCCATGTAATGTTTAGACATCCATACACGACTGGGACTAACGTAATCTGCACATGCCGTCTCTTAACTTACGATATTTACTTTTTTTTCCCTTTTCTCACTCTTGCGATATTTATTACGATGTTATTCCTATCGGTTATATTAATACGTGTTAAAATTAATGAACATTTTTGTATAATATAATTTTTTATATAATATAGTAAGTAATATGCATTAAAAAAATATTCGTACAAAATATACAAATTAAATCAAATAGAAATATTGATGTATAAACCATTAATAATAATAATATTCATTTTTTCTAGTATATCAAAATACTTACAAATATTATATCTATATTTAATATATTTAAAAAAAACTATAACAATATATTAGGAAAAACAAACAAACGAAATTAATAATAATACAACACTAATTAAAACAATAATTTATTATTCTCGTATTTGAAAAAGGTGCAAGTAAATCTACAAGCTACCATGCCACAAACAAATTACGATAGCAATGGTGCATCATCTCCCGTAGAAGATGACATAGATGCAGCATTAACGGATCTTCAGGTTACCCTCGAGGGTAGTAATATCAATAACGGTCCGAGTGATATCACGCAAGTGCCAGAACTTTGCGATTACTTGCGTTTTTTCAAACCAAAACGTTTCACATTGAAGGCGTTCAAGCGATACTGGTTTACGTGCAGGGATTTACAATTGAGATTGCATAAAACACGAGAGGAAACAAATAGTTCGGATTCACCTGCATACGTAATCAATTTACGTGGATGCGAAGTTACACCAGATGTTCATCTTTCTCAAGGTCGTTATGGTATAAGGTTGGAAGTACCCAGTGCAGAAGGCATGACCGAAATGTGGATCAGATGCGATACCGTAAGTTGTATCATTTCCTAAAAAAGGACACACATATCAAATGTATTTATTTATTAAAATTATTTATTTTATCATTGAGATATTATATAAGAGTAATTTAATTCAATATTAATTATTTCGTAAATGCATTTGAAAATATACAATTACAACTCAACAACTTCATTTCCAATGTTTATTATTCAGGAACAACAATATGCAAAGTGGATGGCTGCTTGTAGATTGGCAGCGAAAGGTCGTACACTAGCAGATTCATCTTACGAAACTGAAGTAAACAGCATTATAGCTTTTCTGCAACTTCAAAGACCTGCTCCAGCACCAGCGATAAATCCAAACTCGTTGGACATAACACCGGACGATTACGTTGCACCGAGATTCGTAAAGAGGCTTAAAGGAAAGGTATATAACATTTTGTTTTTATATTATTATATAAAATTAGAAATATATATATATAGAAAGTAAAAAAAAAAATTCTAAGTAAAAAAAAAAATTCTAATTAATCTTTAAATTGTGTTTTCTTAAATTATTATTATTACTAAATAATAGTAATAATTAAACTTAATATTTAATAGTTAATAATTAAACTTAATATTTAATAGTTAATAATTAAACTTAAATTTATTAGTTATTACTATATTAGTTAACAAAATAAAATAAATATTTCTAATTCGTGTAAACTTTTGTCTCACTTTCTGAGAATTTGAGATAAGTACCCTTTAACAGGGTTAATAATTTATCTATCGATTTATCATACACACAAACGAACAGAACCCTTTAATCATGATTCTTCAATTTCCATAAAGCTGGTTCAAAGGATTTTAGAGGCTCACGCTAACGTAAAGGATTTACCTTTGGTCGAAGCCAAACTGAATTACATCAAGGCTTGGCAATCACTTCCGGAATATGGTACATCTCTCTTCGTAGTTAGATTCACTGGTAAAAGTAAAGATGAGCTATTAGGTATTGCCAATAACAGGCTTATGCGAATGGAACATAACAGTGGTGATCATTTAAAAACATGGAGGTATAATACCATGAAAGTAAGTTGTATGTCTTTGTCTCTTTGTCATCATTCACAAAATTTCTTCTTCTTCTTCTTCTTCTTTATTTTTTATTTAGATTATCTATCGAATTAAATATAATCCTAAAAGTTTAATATAAAATATCAATAAAAAAATATTGTATAATTGTTTTATCCCCAGGCATGGAACGTAAATTGGGAAGTGAAACATATGATGGTACAATTTGAAGAAGAAAATATTATATTCGAATGTCAATCAGCCGATTGTAAAGTGGTACACGAGTTTATAGGTGGTTATATATTTTTGTCGATGCGTTCGAAGGAAGCAAATCAAACATTGAACGAAGAAATGTTTCACAAATTGACCGGTGGCTGGCTATGAGAACAATCTCATACGAACAACAACAAAATATCCTTTTATATATTTAAACGAATCTTCATAATTATTTTATGGTTTCTTTGTTTTTCTTCCTTTTTCTCTCTCTCTCTCTACATAAATCTTACAAGAAAACAAATACATTGGTCGTTGTGAGTGGACGTTAATAGAAAAAGAAAAAGGGGGAGGGAGAAAGAAGAAAAAGAAAAATATTTCTAAACAACAACAATTAAAAAATTACAAAATTAAAAATACGATGGGGGTAAACGTGTTGCAAAGTAAATTTTCGTATATTTAAAATAATGCTTTAGATGTGTAAATAGAAATAATACGAGTTTAAAAATCGTCCAAATGATGGTTGATGATGATGATGATGGTGATGATGATAATGATGATGATGATGATGGAATGCCTTTATGAATAGAATGCAACTGATCGTTTTATATATATATAGATCTTTTATCGTCCTTGAACGTTAATGCATCAAGATGAATAATTATGTAAAATTACGATCTGTCAAGAGATTAGAATTAATTAACAACGCGAATTTAAGTTAGACGCATCATAATACTATACCAACGTACTAACGTTATATAATATTCAATAACGAACGACGAATCCATTTTTGTTTTTTGTTTTTATCTCTGTCAACAAGACAACACCTGCACGGACGATTAAAAGTTAAAAAAAGGAATAGGAAAATGATCGAAATAAGTTTCTACTTATTATTTTGTCTTTAGATACAACAACAAAATCTATAAAGATAATTTGTTTATGCTTTTCATTTGGTAGTGAAACAAAAATGCATAAGTTTCGACTAGACGCTTGTTGGAAAAAACGATCTTGTAAATTAATATTAATAATAATACTAATACTAGTAATAATAATAATAATAATAATAAAAAGAAAATGACACAGAAAAAAATAAATAAATAAAAAAGAAATTATATTAATAATTTTCAAACGATGATCTGATTTATCATTTTTAGATCAGAATTTTCTTATTTTTTTTTCTTTTAACGATTTGACGTTACCGTTAATAATTATTTATATATAATGTATACAATAAGTGTCTAGTCTATTTCACGCGTACCTTTATACGAAAAAGAAAAAAAGGAAAAGAAAAAAAACAACATACGTCTGTGCATAAGAAGTACGGTATAATATTAATAATACTATTAATAATAATAATAATAATAATAATAATATTAATGATTTTAATTAATAAAAAAAATAATCATGAATTAATTATTAACGCTCGTCGGGTACTCCCGATTTTTAACGGCACGAGATATGTTTTACCCAATTTAAATAGAAGGTGCTATTATTATTATAATGAGCGAGATTGATTTGTACCTTGCGATAAATAAAAATCGTGTAAATTATTTGTTATCGTTTTAACGTAAGTTGCAGATTTATACGCCAAAAATTTGTGTATCTTACACATGCGTGCATGCATGAGTAGTATGTGTGTATATGTATGTATGTATGTATGTATGTATGTTTGTTTGTATATGCGTGGGTGTGCAACTTACGTTAAGAAAAACTATATACATATATATATTAAAAATCTATTTACTTATACCGTTATACATTCTCTATATACGATATTACGTTATATGTATATGTAACCAGAAAGTATAGTTTTGTATGTTAGTAGAATATAGTTGTACAATAAACATAATTGATTAATAATGATTAACGAACAAAAAAAATCACGATTATAATTTATAGTCGTCTTTATTCCAGAATATTCATTCTCATCATAAAAGACTTATTAAAGTCGCCGATAATAATTTTACGAAAAATTTGCCAACGAATTAAATTGGCACGCGTGTTTTATCTTTAATAATGATGATATATTGAAAAAACAATTAAAATCTTGTTTTTTTTTTTTTTCTTTTCTTTCTGCCACCGTCCACGTTAAACAAAATTAAAAAATCGTGTAGATTTGTTTTATTTATAAAAAAAAAATATATATA